AAAAAAAAAAAAAAAAGGGCATGGATAGCCTTTAGGAAGCTTATAGAGTGATGCTGGGAGCTGGGGAGTGGCAAAAAGGGCCATTTTTCACACATTTCTGCTCTCCCCAGCCTCCAGGAGCTCTCTGGAAGCCTTCTAAAGGCTATGCATGGCCATTTGTTGAAGGGGCGGGGTTTCGGGAGGCAAAAAAATGCTGTATTCGGTGTATAAGACGCCCCCAGATTTTCAGCCTCTTTTTTGAGGGAAAAAGGTGCGTCTTATACTCCGAAAAATACGGTACCTCAGTTTCAGAAGCTTGACATGAAAGAGCAACCCGCCCCTTGCGTCCTTCTGCTCTTGGCTTTTCCATCAAAGCAGATGTGAAAAACGCTCTTCTCCTGTCAGGCCATCGAGGTTCAGTTAGCATGACATCACTCAAGGATGAACCTTGCCCTGCCTGCCTGGGGAGGGCCTTCTGCTCTGCCCCTGGGCCACAGGTGTCCTCTGACGTCATGGCAGGTTGAATCTGCAGGGAGATGATCCCCATGCTAAACACCTGGCCATTAACAGCACAGCTTCCCAACAGCAACTGGGAAGGTCCTCTGTAGGAATTAGGGCAGAGGTTGGTTCGTACCAGTTCAGACTGGTTCGGCCGAGTAGGTAGTAACTCGGCCCGCCACGCCCCTGAACCGGTTCTATTGTCGGGGTGCGACAGTCAGCTACGCCGTGCGAGTTCTAATTAGAGATCGTGCAGCACAACTGATTGTCGCAAGTTGATTGTCGGAACTACCGGTTCGCCCAAACTGATAGCATAGTTTTTACTACTGGTTTGCGTGAACAGCGCGCATGCGAAGCAAACCAGTAGCAGACTTCAGAGCATTTCACCCCTGACTCAAACCTATTATAATATTTTCTCACTAAACACAATCATTCCTTCTATTTCCAACATCCCAATGCACACAAATTTATCTGAGAAATTTGTCACGTTTGTCAAATCTGACTTACTGTATTTTTCGGTGTATAAGACGCACTGGAGTATAAGACACACCAAGGTTTTGAAGAGGTAAATTTAAAAGGAAAAGCTTTTTGCATTCCGCAGAGCTCCCAAACCTTCTGCACGCCTCATTTTTTGTGAAAAACAGGACACGCAGAGACTTTAAGTGGCCTCCAAAGTGTCCCTGGGGGATGGAAGGAGGCAAAAACGAGCAAAAAATAGCTCATTTTTTGCTCATTTTTGCCCTCTCCGACTTCCAGGAGTACTTTGCAGGCCTCCCAAACCCTCTGCACATCCATTTTTGCAAAGGGGGCGGGGTTTCAGGAGGCCAAAAATGCTGTATTCAGTGTATAAGACGCACCCAGATTTTCACCCTCTTTTTTGTGGGGGGGAAAGGTGCGTCTTATACTCCGAAAGATACAGTAATTAAGAGTTGTTTCTTTCCAATATCAGCCGAGGGTTAAAAACCAGCCCCAGAAGCTAACCCAGGTTCATCAGCCAGACTTACGACTTTGTATTTAATGAGATAGTGGCGGATCGGGGATCCCCCGTCGTCTTGCTTGATGAGGTTCACTTTGATGGAGTTCCCGTCGTCTCCCATGTGGCCTTCCAGCTTTGGCGCACTGGGCTCCCCTGCCAAAATGGGTGTAAATGCACATTGAATGGGGGGGCAAGCGATTGATTCAACGAATACACAGCGACATCCCACCATCGACCCAGCTCAAATATGCTCCTGTGGACACCTTCAAACCACAAACTCCGTACCGCCTCCACCTTTTCATGGAAGCCTAAAAGTTTGTCATGAAGGAAAAAAAGATTTGACGACGATTCTGTAGGAGATGACCAGGTTGAGCCCGAGGGAGGTGGGGGTCAAGCATGTCATCAGTTCACGCCCAGAAGAGCTGTAAGTCCAGCCCACTTTGAATTTCGTTGACTTCTTGTCTACCACCAATTGGCTTGGACTGTTAGTAGTTCAGATTCCCGTTTAGAGGTAGCATGGACTCAACTTGTACTTTGTGGAATAATCCCGGTTCCTGATTTCTTGCGCCTGACAGATTTATGACCCATCTGGAAACCAGGAGGCCTGGGTGGATCTCCTCAGCCTGTGGCCAAGGGAGCAGGGAGAGCTTTAATTTTTGCAGAGTTTGAATATTTCAAAAGGGTCAATAAATATTTTATTTATTGCTTGTATTTATATCCCATTTTCCTTGAGGGGGCTGAAAATAATACATACAACGATCCCTTTGTCTAACTTTTTCTGGACAGCCAACACACGGGCATTTCCTCCTCCCCCCCCCACCAGCTTTGTGGGGGATTGTCAACAGCTTTGTGTTGACAATCACACAGCCCCTTCTTCGGTTTCTTGTCAGATTTCAACATTCTGGAATCTGCAAGAGACTCGTGCATTGAATGCCGCCCTCTGCAGTAAAGGAATCTGTAGGTTTGCCTCTCTTCCTGTCTAAACAGCTTTCCTGTTTCAGTTCATCTACACAGGTGCACACAGGTATGTGCACACAGACACTCCCCCCCCCCTGCTTTTGTTACCGGGGTCTAAACTACAACAACTACTGTGTTCCCTGAAAATAAGACAGGGTCTTATTTTCTTTTGACCCCCGAAATAAGCTCTTGGCCTTATCTTCGGGTGATCTTATTATTTTCAAGGTGCAGGAGGCGGTGAGTGTGGTCACCTTATGGCTGCTGCTCTCTCCAGTCACGAGAGAGTTTTTCGTATGTTTAGAAGCAGAAAAGATACTGGGAGCTCCTCGGTTGCCAAGGTGGGGAAGGAAAGAGTAGTAACCTTATTCAAGGGAAGTCTTATCCGTAGTCTAAGCCAAGAGTAAGCTACTCCAAGGTTCTTAAGAAAGGAGACGTAGCAGTAGTGGCCTGCAAGTCTCTAGCAGAAGCTATTGCGGAGAAAGAGGTTGAGTTTCCTTCTTGATGTTCTACTAAACATCTCAAGAAAGAGGTCCAGGAGCTGTCGGTCACAGCTCCTTTCTGATCAGATCTAACCTGGATCATCCAATGGGAAGTGAAAGGTCTTATGGGGTAGCCAAACTCAACAACCGAGTGGAAGTCTGTATTTACATGTCTGCTATGGGTGATAACTTTCCACACCATCAAAGAGGAATTTCTATCCCAAGACTTTATCTAAACAATTCCCCCCAGGGTTCAGAGATGGAAATCTTGAGACGCCCATTCTCGTTTAGGCCTCATCATGCCATCTCTAAGAAAAGAAACAAGGCAAGTGGTCCTTTCTTTTCCCTCCGGGGACCCAGAGAGAACCATGCCCCCCCAAAAATGGACCCTTCCCCCTCCTGAAGGAGGGGTGAACTGAGAATGCCAACCCACTACAGGTGAAAGGATCTCTCTGATCTCATTTCTTGCTTCTTGCAATTGAAAAATGGTCACCTTTCAAAGATTGATCCCTTCGCTTGCTAGTTAATAGGCAACCGAAAGGGAATTGCCCAACCCCTCTTCCCCAATTGCCCAACCAATTAAGGAGGAGGAGGGGGAGGAGAGAGGGGGAGGAGGAGGAAGAGGAGGAGGAGGAGGAGAGGGGAGAGAAGGACGAGGAGGAGGAGGAAGAGGAGGAAGAGGAGGAGAAGGAAGAGGGAGAAGAGGAAGAAGAGGAGGAGGAGGCATCAGGCTAGTTATTTCTAGGGATGCACAAGAGAGAGAGACAATTCAGGGCTCAGGGGTTGTGTGTGTGTATGTGTGAGAGAGAGAGATTGGGGATGGGAGGAGAGATTTGCACCAGGACAACAGTGAAACCGAAGGGAATCCAGGAACTGCTTTTCAAGAGACAGAAGTCACCCAGCAGATTCCTAAGAACTTCTGGAAAACTATTGCCTGTAAAAAAAAAAATCAGGATAGTACCATAAACTCATTAGGAAGGGGGGGAAAAAAACCCCAGAATGTGCCCCCATTGCTGACATTAGAATATTTGGGAGGTGTGAGGGAGAAGGGGAGGCTGGGGAAAGTCAAGCAAAGCAGCTCTTAAGTGTATAAATTTAATAAACAAACACACAGCTGAATAAACAAACAAACAAACTGGGTATTACTACCTGATGATGATGAACGTTTAGAAACTTTTATTCTATGAAGGAGACGGAGGTGGGTTTCTGTTTGTTTTGTTTAAGCAGACAAAACTGCGTCCATTCAAACAATAATTATGGGGAGGGGGAAGACACTAGAAAAGAGTGAAAAGGGCAGAAAAAAACAAACCCCAGAAATGTCAGAGACAAATGGACCATTTCTATGACACGAGTGATTTGTTGTCTTTGCCTAAAATGTATTTGGACAAATCTTAATTTTTAGCTGTCAAAAGGAAATGTAACCACTGAGATTATCCTGGGTCCTTTTTATTTTTTCCCCCCAGTGTCTTCTTGATTAATTACTGACAATGAATATGGATAGTTTACCACCCGTTTAGGTTTTTCCCCCTGTAATATTTAATCTAGTCCTTTCCTTTTCTTAAAATTGGGCAATTTGATTTTTTTATTCCTGCAGGCCTGGTTAAGCAACTCTCTCCAGCCACCTGCCGGAAGGATGACATAATAATTCCCCGAGGAAGATATATGTTAAAATTAAATATGTATATTGAAAAGGAATTATAAATACCATCAACATAAAATGGAGCTTGCTCAGAAGCTGAAATACAACAAGTAAATGAGAGGAAGAGTGGGAAGCAGAGGAGAGAGGTAAGGGAAGAAGAGAGGGANGTCACTAAACAGACCGCTGTAAGTCAAGGACTACCTCTGCGCTTAATCCGCAAGATGACCTTTCGCCTCTGCGTTGACCTCCCAGTTGTCTTTGCCGTATTTCTGCTACCTACGACGGGCAAAAGGATGAGCGGCGAGTGGGGACGGTGACCAAACCTCCCCAGAGAAACCAACTTTCCCCCAACACAATTTGAAAAGTGTAAGCGATCCTTTTTATTTTTTCACAGCCAGGGGCAAAAAAGGGGGGTCAAGAAGAGCCGTTGGATTTCAGGGCAGACATGCAGAGAATCTTAAAACATGCCCGGTTTAGAACATCCTCCTCCTTCCTCACGACAAAACCGCCAAATCCTTCCTCGTGCTTCTGCCTCCCTTCCTGCATCCCCATCCCCAAACAGACGCCATCCTTGGAAAAACAAAGAGATCCTCTCTTGGGGTGTCCGGCCTCAAGGACACAACGGGGAGGGGGGGTCTTCGAAAAGCAGCGGCTGCACCCCTAGCACAGCAGAAGCAGAGCTGCTGGGATCAGGAGCAGGGAGACCCAAGGAGTCGAAGCAGCTGGGCTCCCCAAGGTGGCTGCAGTAACAACCAGGGAAGGTTCCCAGGAGGAGGGAAGGAGGACCGTTGGGGGTTTGGGGTTTTTTTTGGGGGGGGGGGAGGAAAGGAAAACGGTGGCGCGGGCAGGAAAAGTGGACGTTTCCATTGGGATCCGGAGTAGGTACGTAGGAGAACAGAAACACCAAAGGAACCACAAAGGGGTAGAAGGGAAGGGATCGGGAATGAAAAAAAGAGAGAGAGAGAGAGAGAAAGAGAGAGAGAAAATAGATAAAAGAAAAAAAATAGGTCATAAATACAGAAAGAAAAACCGATAAGAATTTTTAAAAAGTCTTTGCTTAACTCAGTATAAATTAAAGAAAAAAGAAATGTTCAAAAAGTTAGAAGAACAGAGCAGTGGCGGCAGCGGCGGCAGCAGCGATGATGGTAATAAGAGAAGCGTAACTGGGAAGCCAGCAGTAAGGGAGGCAGGGGAGGGGAGAGAGGGTGGGGATGGGGGGGAGGATAGTTGGGAGCAGCAGACACCAAAGGGGGGGGCGGAGGATCCTCTCTGTGGGGCCGGGGGAAGGAGCGAGTGGGACTCAGCACAGGGGTTGTATCATGGTTGAAGTGCCCCAGGCTGCCTTGGTCCTCTCTCCCCAGTGGTGGGATTCAATTTCTTTTTACTACTGGTTCTGTGGGCGCGGCTTGGTGGGCGTGGCAGGGGAAGGATACTGCAAAATCCCCATTTCTTCCCGATTAGCTGGGACTCGAGAGGCAGAGAATAGATAGGGGCGTGGCCAGCCAGAGGTGTTATTTGCCGGTTCTCCAAACTACTTAAAATTTTCGCTACCGGTTCTCCAGAACTGGTCAGAACCTGCTGAATCCCACCTCTGCTCTCCCTGCCACCTGTTGCATGGAGCCAAAGACGGCCACTGGAAGCTGTGAGAATTCCCAGAATCACAGAGTTGGAAGGGACCTTGGAGGTCTTCTAGTCCAACCAGGCAGGAAACCCCATGCCGTTTCAGACAAATCCTTGTCCAAACTCTTCTTAAAAGCTCCCAGGTTGGAGCATTCACAACGTCCGTAGCCAGTTTGAAGTGAATCAGCCCAGACTTATCTTAACCGCCTACAGAGACTAGACTAGAGTTCCACAAACTATGTGAATATCGCCCGTTTGACTTGGTGTGTTTGCTTTCCCTATCTAAATTCACTACCCAGCATTAGGCAGGACATCCAGTCAAGTCCTAGAGAGGTTCCCCAAATTAATGTTTCTCCTATGTTCCATCAAGTAGGAATCTCTGCTGTTGTTCTTCAATCACTAAGTTGCGTCGGAGAAGCAACTTACTTCCTAAGGCTTGTGGTTGTTAGTTACAAAGTCATGTCCGACTCATCATGGACAACGTTCCTCCAGGCCTTCCTGTCCTCCACCATCCTCTGGAGTCCATTTAAGATCACACCTATTGGTTTGGTGCCTCCATCCAGCCACCTCATTCTCTGCCGTCCCCTTCTTCTTCTTTTGCCCTCAGTCTTTCCCAGCATGAGGCTCTTCTCCAGGGAGTCCTTCCTTCTCATTAGGTGGCCAAAGTATTTGAGTGTCATCAAATATGGCAGCAAGTATGGAAGGATNGAGGAGGAGGAGGGGAAAGAGAAAGAGAAGGATGGAAGGGAAGAAAGGAAAGAGGAGGAGGAAGAGGAGGAGGAGGGGAAAGAGAAAGAGAAGGATAGAAGGGAAGAGAAGAAAGGAAAGAGGAGGAGGAAGAGGAGGGGAAAGAGAAAGAGAAGGATGGAAGGGAAGAGAAGAAAGGAAAGAGGAGGAGGAAGAGGAGGAGGAGAGGAAAGAGAAAAAGAAGGATGGAAGGGAAGAGATGAGAAGAACGGAAAGAGAAGGAGGGAGAGGAGGAGAGGAGGAGGAAAGAGAAAAGAGGAAGAGAAACAGAAGAGAAAAGAAAAGGAAAAAGAGAAGAAAA